GTGCGCCTTGGTGTCCCTGCTGTCTCGGAGGCAAAGATAGCAGGGGAACTTGGTGAAACCGCCTTGGAGACCCATCAGGAATGCCACCATTTTGAAGTCTCCGATTATCTCCCAGCCATACTCATCATCCTTCAAGGCGTCCAGCAAGGTCTTAATGTTGTTGTAATCCTCTTTGAGGTGCACCGAGTGAGCCAGGGAAAGAGACGGGTACTTGTAACCATTATGGAGCACCACGGTTTTGAGGCTCCTGGATGAGCTGTCAATGAAGAGGCGCCACTCATTCTGGTTACAGGCGATTCCGATTGCCTCGAACAGACTGGTCACATTGTGGCAGAAGCAGAGCCCATCTTGACGAGTCAAGAAGCTGCAAAAAGGTTGGTGACGCTTCCTCTGATCTGCGACTTGCACACTTTTATCCAACAAGTTCCACTGCTTGAGCCTAGACGTCAAAAGCTCGGCATTGGACTTGGTGAGACCAAGATCTCTGATCAAGTCGTTGAGGTCTTTTTGGTTGGGGTAGTATGGGTTTCTTTCCTCAGCTCCACCTCTGAAATTGTCATCTGGATCTACAACGTCTTCCTCGCTCTCTGACTTGCTGTTGGTACAGAGAGCTCATGGCAGTGTGGCATCGGGGCGATGGATGAAGGAAGGTTCGGATACGTGATAGCAGGTGCATTGTTGCCAGTCCGACGTTTGGAAGGGTCCACCATGCAGAAGTAGCAGTTGCTTGAGTGGTCAGTGGGTTCCCGCCAAATTCTTGGGATAGCGAACTTCATGGCTCTCTTTTCTCCTCTGTACCATCCTACAAAAATACATTTATTTCACCCATGACTAATGTGTAAGAGATTCTCGCAACATTTTTCATATATGATATATTTTTTCAATAACATTGAAAATTGTGAAACATTTTAGAATTAAAAACTTTTACAATTTTGAAAATGTTAACAAATTCCATAACATAAAATTCCTCGCAACAATTGTACATCTTAAATTTTGATTTAAAGCTTTCGTGACTGCAGTAATTCATATTCTTAGTTTTTTCGGTAAAGTCACGTTGAAGAGAAACAACAAAATAACATCATCAGATGATGACCGTTTGAGTTATGGTCGAAACGTCGTGAGAATCATCAGATGATGACCGTTTGAGTTATGGTCGAAACGTCGTGAGAATTTTTTATTGTTTTATATATATTTTGTTATTTTGTTGTTTCTCTTCAACGTGACTTTACCGAAAAAACTAAGAATATAATTGTACATCTTATCTTCCAGAATTTTTGTTGCATTGCTCGCAACACAAAACTGAACTAGTGGGCGTATGGCCCCTGTATTCATACTACTATTTATATTACTGGAAAGTTCTAGAATGTTCTAGAAGTTACTTCAAGTTTACTCAGCACTGAATCTATCTGGAATGTTCTGGAAAATATGTACATTTAAAAATATCACTGTTCTGGTCACAAAAGCAACGTTTGTGGGGAATAATAGCCATTTTCTGTACTTTTGAGGCATAAGCAATTAGTAAATTACACTTACAGTGAGGGAAAAAGTATTTGATCCCCTGCTGATTTTGTACGTTTGCCCACTGACAAATAAATTCTCAGTCTATAATTTTAATGGTAGGTTTATTTGAACAGTGAGAGACAGAATAACAACAAAAAAATCCGGAAAAACGCATGTCAAAAATCTAATAAATTGATTTGCATTTTAATGAGGGAAATACGTATTTGACCCCTCTGCAAAACATGACTTAGTACTTGGTGGCAAAACCCTTGTTGGCAATCACAGAGGTCAGACGTTTCTTGTAGTTGGCGACCAGGTTTGCACACATCTCAGGAGGGATTTTGTCCCACTCCTCTTTGCAGATCTTCCTAAAGTCATTAAGGTTTCGAGGCTGACGTTTGGCAACTCGAACCTTCAGCTCCCTCCACAGATTTTCGATGGGAATAAGGTCTGGAGACTGGCTAGGCCACTCCAGGACCTTAATGTGCTTCTTCTTGTGCCACTCCTTTGTTGCCTTGGCCGTGTGTTTTGGGTCATTGTCATGCTGGAATACCCATCCACGACCCATTTTCAATGCCCTGGCTGAGGGAAGGAGGTTCTAATCCAAGATTTGACAGTAAATGGCCCCGTCCATCGTCCCTTTGATGCGGTGAAGTTGTCCTGTCTCCTTAGCAGAAAAACACCCCCAAAGCATAATGTTTCCACCTCCATGTTTGACGGTGTGGATGGTGTTCTTGGGGTCATAGGCAGCATTCCTCCTCCTCCAAACACGGCAAGTTGAGTTGATGCCAAGAGCTCCATCTTGGTCTCATCTGACCACAACACTTTCACCCAGTTGTCCTCTGAATCATTTAGAATTTCATTGGCCAACTTCAGACGGGCATGTATATGTGCTTTCTTGAACAGGGGGACCTTGCGGGTGCTGCAGGATTTCAGTCCTTCACGGCGTAGTTTGTTACCAATTGTTTTCTTGGTGACTATGGTCCCAGCTGCCTTAAGATCATTGACAAGATCCTCCCGTGTAGTTCTGGGCTGATTCCTCACCGTTCTCATGATCATTGCAACTCCACGAGGTGGGATCTTGCATGGAGCCCCAGGCCGACGGAGATTGACAGTTCTTTTGTGTTTCTTCCATTTGCGAATAATCGCACCAGCTGTTGTCACCTTCTCACCAAGCTGCTTGTCAATGGTCTTGTAGCCCATTCCAGCCTTGTGTAGGTCTACAATCTTGTCCCTGACATCCTTGGAGAGCTCTTTGGTCTTGGCCATGGTGGAGAGTTTGGAATCTGATTGATTGATTGCTTCTGTGGACAGGTGCCTTTTATACAGGTAACAAGCTGAGATTAGGAGCACTCCCTTTAAGAGTGTGCTCCGAATCTCAGCTCGTTACCTGTATAAAAGACACCTGGGAGCCAGAGATCTTTCTGATTGAGAGGGGGTCAAATACTTATTTCCCTCATTAAAATGCAAATCAATTTATACCATTTTTGACATGCGTTTCTCTGGATTTTTGTTGTTATTCTGTCTCTCACTGTTCAAATATACCTACCATTAAAATTATGGACTGATCATTTTTTTGTCAGTGGGCAAACTTACAAAATCAGCAGGGGATCAAATACTTTTTTCCCTCACTGTACTACGCAGGAACAAAAAAATAAATAAAATATAGTTACAGTGTTCTCAAACGCGGAGGGAAAAAGCCTCAGAGAAAAATCTACGTGACCATGGCGAGATAGACGCGCAAACTCCAAATATACAACCCACGACCTCCTGCATACCAGGCGAGGTAGGTAACATCTCGCCACCGTGATGTTTCACTTTGACCGAGGGTGGCAACATGTCGTGTGGGTGGTCGGACACCCAAGAGGCCCACACAGTGGCTTGCTCTCCACATGCGGTCATAATCAAGACGCATCATCGTATGCAAACTATGAGGTTATTCGGAGAAATAAACCCCTTCGCCCCCCCACCCGCCAATATTTTGTCTGAGCGGCTTGCATTGATTTTCTTCGCAACAATGAGATGAAAGCTGAGACGGCAGCTGGGGCTGATTTAAATACAAATCGAAGGACGCTGCGACCACGCGCAGACACAGACACAATAACGACACTCTCTATGGCAACAAATGCTAAATAAATTTATCATGAATACAATGTGACAGATAATACAATCAAAGTAAAAACATACGAGGCAGAATAATGCGCAAAAATATATGGCGGGGAGAAAGGGGGGGGGGGGCTGTGAAAAATACCGTGATAAAATACAAATAATGCCCATGCCTTTAAATGCACACATTCCTGTAGCTTTTGTTGCGTTGCGTTTTCTGTTTTTAATTCTAGTTCTAGATAAAGTTGAAACGGTTTGAGCGAAAATGTTTCGTATGGCGCTTTGTCAATCCACTGCGGAGTGGAGGCCTCCCTGTGACGCCCCGTCAGTCACGGCCGTCGTTTAACCATACTTCGCCGCGCTGGTTCCGTGCAGGTTGGTGAAAGAGGGTAGTTCCATATCCGGTTCAGATCATCACTCGCCACCGATGTTAGCCACGGCTGGGCGTCAGATTCGGGCGGCCGGATTTTTGTAGCGCAGCGCCCCCAACCATCGCGCCTCTACCACGAACCATCCCTGTGCCGATCGACTGCGCGTTTTATCTTCGTACGCGTGGTCCAAAGCACCTGCGCCGGGCCATGAATTTCTTCAGAATGAATTGATTACAAACAGGAGGCACGCGACACTCCAGCGACTCAATGACATTCCACGAATAGAGGCCGCCAATATTCCACTCCGGTTCACGGCGCGGCAACTACAGCGCCACCGCTCCCCCTACCCATCTCGAGACATTGTTTTGCGAGGCGGGTAGCGCGAGCGGTAGGGGCGGTGTGCTTAACCCACTGCGCCACGGCTCCCCAAAAACCCCAGCCCAGAAAAAATATTGCGGGAGGGCGATGAGAAGAGAGAAAGACGAATCACGTGGTAACATATCGCAGCACATCGCGATCGGCGCGAGACGCAGCGCGCGTCTGGAACGCGTCTTCGGGAGCCCGCGGCTCGCATTTCAATACCGGCCGGTCGCCTCCTGCTATCACCCCCCCCCCCCCTCCTGCTCCTCCTTCTCTCCCTCGCGCTCTAATCGCGTTGCAGAGCAAAGTAATTTGTGTAACGCGATTTAACTCAGTGGCTGGATCCCCGAGGGCTGTTTGTACCCTTCACGGCAGCGCTTCGCCCGGAAGCTAATGCGACTGGACTTGATCTGTCAAACGCTTATTAAACAGTTATTCCATGTACTTGCCGTGTCACAACAAGCGCTGCCATTCCGATGCCCGGGGGGGGGGGGGGGAGAGTTGATATTTACGGCGGAGCCAGCACAATGTGCGCCGCTCAACAACGCGGCAGCAGTTCATTAACTCAGCCGCTCGGAGACCAACATCTGGCCCAGCGGCGCAAGGCAGCTTACCGGCAGTGTTAAAGGAAGGCTTTTGCTCCAATGTTTTTATTTCTTCCCACCCCCCCCCCCAGCCACCCGCTTGTACGTGAGCATCACCACTTGACATTCAAATCTGCATGCAGGCGATGATCGAGTTACCTTTGGGTTACAAGGGGTTGCGGAGCGGTTTCGCTGGGAAGGCTTTTGAAAAAAAATAAACAAATAGAACCTCCATCTATGGCCTCGGAGGGGGGAGGGTTCATTCCGCGGCCGGGCGTACTGCCCGGCCAGTGGGACTCCAGGCCCGGTGGACACGCACGGGAGGCCCTGCCTAATGACTCCTGAGCGTCGTTTGCACGGCGGTTGCAAGCGCGACGCTCAAAAGTTGACGTTCAAATCGGCAAATGAGTGGCGGCACAATTAGAAGGGTCCTCCGTCGGGGAGTCGAGCGATTTTGCCACAGGTCACCTTGTGGGCCCTCGCGATCCCACGGGGAGGAGGGGGGGGGGAAGCGATTCCGCTCTATCACGCCAGACATCGCCGTCCTCCGCGTGTGCTTCCGTTCATCGTGGCTTTAAAATCCTTAAAACCGCAGCAAAGCATCTGCAGAATTCCAGCGTCGGCCGACAGTGCGTCCCGAACGATGTTGTCAACCTGGCTTGCGAGGAAGACCGGATCCAACGTTTTCAAATGGTGAGAAACCAGTCATGGAGAAAAGGCACACAACATGTGCATTATAGACGGGAAGAAGCACCACTGAAAAGATAGAATTGGTCTTCCTATCATGGATTGCATGTCGCGTGACATCACCATATTGTGCGCATAATGGTACAAATAACATGATAGCGTTGCAATAGACCGTAACTCAAAAGGGTCAAAATTGTGGCTATTTTCACTTTAGACAGCAGCTGAGGAAACACACATTGAGAGAACTGGAACACAAATAGCCACGACTTTGGCTCTCGTGAGCTGGTGGTCCAAAACAAGGCCGTGCACATTACACGCCACGTGGTGATGCCATGTGACAATCAAGGCACGTTGGGAGGGCCGATCCTCGGGGTAAAGTCGCACCTTTCTCCCTCTTGCCGGCTTGCGAGTCACACCTCATACACACACAAGCACTCAGCATCAGGGTCCTTTATTTCACTCGGTGTATAGTCAAGCCACAGCAGTGCGAGTGTGGCCATGCAAACCAAACTATGGACAATGCTGTAAACCCGCTTGTAATCCGCGCTCCTTCAACGGGGGAGAAAGAGCAAAACCACACGAACTCTATCCTGAAGCCCTCTTGTCGTGGCTAGTAGACCTTGACATTGGTATCTAGCTCCTGAAGATTGCTGTCAGCATGCGCAAGATTAGACTGTCACAAGGTGACAGCCCAATGACAATTGTCTTTGTCGTATCGGATACCTGAGCTACTTGAGCTCTTTATGCAAAGCTTTACTTTTGTTGCAATTTGGTTACAAGCAATTGTAAATATGGAATGTGTGGCACAATGGCTATTCCTCTCTATGAGCCAATTACACTTTCTGCACGTATTTTAGTTTGTAATTTATTTAATAACAAGATATAGTACATCTAGGCTAAGATGTAATCTGTAAATTAAAATGTATACTTTTTTTCTTATTGTAAATGTCCCAAAATTCTAAACATATTGTACATTCTCTTTGTTTTTTTCTGTAAAGTCACGTAGGTATAAAATAAAATATACCTACGTGACTTTACCGAAAGAACCAAAGAGTATGGATTCCTGCAGTCACGAAAGCTTCAAATCAATATTATATATTGCATGTATCGCAAGTCATCGAGATACTTTAGTCGCAATGAGTATTGAACATTTAACAAACACAATTCTTACTTCATAATACTCCATAGAGTACCCTCCGCATATCTCTCTCGAGCCAGGCACGCGAACTGCTTGCGAGCTCAGGCAGAGCCACTCCGATTACAGAGACTCCTCTACTTACGAACACTCGAATTACGAACTTTCAGATACAGTATACGAACAACCTGCCCGTATGTCATGTAGATGCCACATGAAGAACCAGTGGCATCTACATCTACAGAACATGAAGAACCGGTGTCATTTAGATATACAAGAGATGATACACCTTAAAAAGCCATTCCCCGTATTTAGTGTACATGCCGTACAACATGTTTGGAATAAGACAGGAGTAAAGTTTGTGACGAACAAACCGACTTACGAACATATCTCTGGAATCTAACATGTTTGTAAGTAGAGGCGTGCCTGCACATTGTACATGTCACGTCGCATGTCACTTAGCACCACCCACTGGAAGGATGCCACCCAATCACAGGCCGGAATGATATTAGCTCCGCCCCCCCGGAGAACCGTAGAACCCAGCCCCGAACAAGAGACTGCTGTGGGGTCAGCACATTGCAACTGAAATTCAGAGCTTTACAGCTCATTGGATTCTTCCTGTATGCAGTCTGAAACAGTCGTGCAAGTGTCTTAAACCCCCACCCACCACCTCTGTCATCCCAGTACTAAGGGGCACCGTGGTGGCGAGATGTTAACTACCTCACCAGGTATACATGAGGTTGTGGGTTCGATCACGACCCCGACGTCTGTATATTTGGAGTCTGCATGTTCTCCCTGCGGTTGCGTGGGTTTTTCTACGTGTCCGCCCATTTTTCTCTCCACATTTATTTGGCTGCTATAAATTTCCACATGATGCGCCACTTCATTGAGCTGTCATTTATATCGGTCAGTGGGCCTTACCTGGTAAAATAACAAATAATTTAGTTTCGTCTTAATATGTGTATATATACAGTATGGGTACAGAGCGGTAAAGACAGGTTGCGTGTGGTGGGGAAAAGTGTGGGTAACTCTTTCCCCTTCGAAGACGTCTGGCCAACATGGAATCATAGGCCAACATACCTCTGAAATGCTCCCTCTAGTGGAGGCCCTGCCACCAGCAGCGACGTGGGCCGGCAATTGTAGGACTGCACCTTTACCGTTTACAAGCGACTACACGGTGCCTTTAGGAGCTCTGTTGAAAACCCTCGCGCAAAACTGCATGTAAAATGTTGAACCCTGTGTAAAAATCCTCATGGGACCCTAAGGAAAAATAAATACGTGACTGGAGTCTGAAGGTGGTGGCAGTGGTAGGTTCATATCGAATTATCAAATGGATCAACAAAAAACAGGGTACTTCGACATATTACGACAAATGCATTTCACTTAAACTGGAGTGTTTAAAAAATATATATATAAGGTTGAACAAGTAGCCGTGTGTAATTATGACAACTTAATTGCTGACCCTGTTACGAGTCCGTGCCACGGCGAGGGAGAAAATACAAATAAAATTAAAAAATAAAGAGGCCGGTCTCACGTTCGCTCTTGGCCTATCGCAGGTTCAGCAGACGAGCACCGTGAAGATGAGTTACGCGGGCGATGCCATTGTTCCAAAATTACTCCCAACAGCTGTCAATCCGATCGCCTCCATCCGCCAGAGGCCAGCGGCCAACGGGCTCGCGCGGTCGACTGACAAACGCACTCGACTTCTCCACGGAACTTTCGCAGCAAACTCACTCCCCCGCCTCTCGCATCCCTCGTACCCTTTGATCATCCCCACAAGCGTGCGTGCTTGCTTGCTTGCCGCAAGAGCTTCGCTGTGCTTTGGCTGGGTGGTGGTGGGGGGGGGCAAACGGAAGTAATATAATAATGCTGAGCTTGACGTGAATCTATCGTGGCTGAGACAACAACATCATCATTATTATTATCATCATTGTGCAGGCTTGCAAAAGCTACAACTGATACTCAACATTCGCTCCTGTTCAGAAGGTGGGCCCCCTCGTTAACAGACGTCGTTATTTTCGCGCCTGCCACCCCCCCCCCCCCGCCCCCGACGCGCTCTTTGACTTGGATGTTTTTTTCTTCTTTCTTTTATCTGATTTCACGAGCGGGCCACGCTGCGGCCAAGTGTTAAGGCTGCCGGCCGGGTCCGCGCATCACCCAACGCCGCTCCGCGATCACGCCAGCAACGGCGGCGGCGGCGACCTGCGGCTTAGCGCCGCGCCGCTCCAACCGCGGCCCTCGGTGCGATTTCTACCGCAGCTCCCGGCAGTCGAAGGCTTGCCGACAAGGAAGGCTTTGGTTTCGACTGTCGGGGAAATAAACACAATGGAAAATGCAACAATGTGGCGGGCTGCACCGGCAGCAGACGGTGAGGGAGAGAGAGAGCGAGAAAGAGGGAGCCGTTGGACCTCGTCTGGACGTTTCGTTTGGAGAGTGAGAGAGCGAGCGAGTTTTAAGCGTGGAACCCCCTGGCCTCTGCGATATCGAGGTAGACGTTTCTCAGGTGCTCCACCATGGCTCTCTCCTCCTCATCCAGCGTCGCGTCTTCCTGCATTTCCCACCTGCAGAAGGAGAATGGTCGCATTGTTTACACACATACTGTATATATGTATATTGTCAAATTCGATAAATAATTAGCAAATGTACCTGTCATCAGGTGGTCCCCAAGGCTAAATGCAAGTGACAGTTGGGCATTGGAGTGATTGAGATGCTGGAGCAATTAAGTGCCCAATGAATGCAAATCGTTATCCTTATTCTCACAACAGAATAGACACGTGTATCAGTTTTATTTCTAACTCTATCAAAAACATGTTTTTGGAATGATTGGATACTGCACCCTGCTGCCAACAACCGCTGCTATTCAATGCATTTTTACAAATCTGGATCACGATGGCTGCTTTGTAACCCATGTCCCCTTTGAAAAAACAAAAAAGACTCAGCTAGTTGAAATTAACATAAATTAACGAACACCTATACAGTCATACCTCGGTATACGACTGCTTTGGAATATGTCGAATTTGGTATACGTCGTGTTTTGACGAGAAGAAAATGTCTTGGGATACAATCCGTCTTGCTTTGGATACGACGCGCTGGCTAGAACTTGTATGGGTCGGGACGGGTCACCGTGTACCCGCGAAGACCCCGTTCACAACTGAAACAAAGCGCCCACTCCTCAGTCTGCCTGTAGATCTCGTTCAGTGCACAACCCTTGCTATAACTCTCTGTGAATTTTCACATGCATTTATTTTAATGTACAGTGAGGGAAAAAAGTATTTGATCCCTTGCTAATTTTGTACGTTTGCCCACTGACAGAGAAATGATCAGTCTATAATTTTAATGGTAGGTTTACTTGAACAGTGAGAGACAGAATAACAACAACAAAAATCCAGAAAAACGCATGTCAAAAATGTTATAAATTGATTTGCATTTTAATGAGGGAAATAAGTATTTGACCTCCTCTCAATCAGAAAGATTTCTGGCTCCCAGGTGTCTTTTATACAGGCAACTAGCTGAGATTAGGAGCACACTCTTAAAGGGAGTGTTCGTAATCTCAGCTTGTTACCTGTATAAAAGGCACCTGTACACAGAAGCAATCAATCAATCAGATTCCAAACTCTCCACCATGGCCAAGACCAAAGAGCTCTCCAAGAATGTCAGGGACAAGATTGTAGACCTATACAAGGCTGGAATGGGCTACAAGACCATTGCCAAGCAGCTTGGTGAGAAGGTGACAACAGTTGGTGCGATTATTCGCAAATGGAAGAAACACAAAAGAACTGTCAATCTCCCTCGACCTGGGGCTCCATGCAAGATCTCACCTCGTGGAGTTGCAATGATCATGAGAACGGTGAGGAATCAGCCCAGAACTACACGGGAGGATCTTGTCAATGATCTCAAGGCAGCTGGGACCATAGTCACCAAGAAAACAATTGGTAACACACTACGCCGTGAAGGACTGAAATCCTGCAGCGCCCGCAAGGTCCCCCTGCTCAAGAAAGCACGTATACATGCCCGTCTGAAGATTGCCAATCAAATTCTGAATGATTCAGAGGACAACTGGGTGAAAGTGTTGTGGTCAGATGAGACCAAAATGGAGCTCTTTGGCATCAACTCAACTCGCCGTGTTTGGAGGAGGAGGAATGCTGCCTATGACCCCAAGAACACCATCCCCACCGTCAAACATGGAGGTAGAAACATTATGCTTTGGGGGTGTTTTTCTGCTAAGGGGACAGGACAACTTCACCGCATCAAAGGGACGATGGACGTGGCCATGTACCGTCAAATCTTGGATGAGAACCTCCTTCTCTCAGCCAGGGCATTGAAAATGGGTCGTAGATGGGTATTCCAGCATGACAATGATCCAAAACACACGGCCAAGGCAACAAAGGAGTGGCTCAAGAAGAAGCACATTAAGGTCCTGGAGTGGCCTAGTCAGTCTCCAGACCTTAATCCCATAGAAAATCTTTGGAGGGAGCGAGTTGCCAAACGTCAGCCTCGAAACCTTAATGACTTGGAGAAGATCTGCAAAGAGGAGTGGGACAAAATCCCTCCTGAGATGTGTGCAAACCTGGTGGCCAACTACAAGAAACGTCTGACCTCTGTGATTGCCAACAAGGGTTTTGCCACCAAGTACTAAGTCATGTTTTGCAGAGGGGTCAAATACTTATTTCCCTCATTAAAATGCAAATCAATTTACTAGATTTTTTACATGCGTTTATATGGATTTTTGTTGTTGTTATTCTGTCTCTCACTATTCAAATAAACCTACCATTAAAATTATAGACTGATCATTTCTTTGTCAGTGGGCAATCGTACAAAATCAGCAGGGGATCAAATACTTTTCTCCCTCACTGTATGTATGCATTTTAGTAATAAGTAGTGTCTAAATTATGTTATACAACCCCATTAATGTATAATATTCCATATCAAAAATATAATTTATTCTACTCTTGAATGGATGATTTCCTTTACCTTTATTTCTTATGGGAAAAATTCGTCTGATAGACGTCATTTTCGGTATAAGTCCTCCTAACTTCTGGAACGAATTAACGACGTATACTCAGGTACCACTGTATGTAAAAACATCCACCTGAGCTCGCAATGTACTTGCATGCACGTCCATTATCATGATCATCAGCCATAAACTACCCACTGCTGGATGAAGGCCTCCCCCATGCCAAAACCATCTCTCGTGGTTTCGCCGAGTAAACGATCCATTTAGCTCCTTCTAAAGAGCCAATTTCATTGCTACATCTCAACGACTGACGTCCTCTCGGGAGTGCTACTCATCATTACAATGGCGTGAACACAATGCCCGTAGATGTCAAGAAGGAAAGGAAATCTTTCCTTCTTGAGATCTTGGCACTGGGAGCCACTAGTGCCTAACAACAAGAAGCGTATGGGTTTGATTCCCGACTAGGGTGCCTTTCTGTGTGGCGTTCGTACGATCTCCTGTGCTACGTGGATTTCCTTGGGGTTCTCAGGTTTGCTGCCATAGTAAAAAATATATATATCTAAATATATGGAGTGTAAGTGGTGTTTGGCCAAACATCCCAATGCAGGACCCTCCTGAAAAAATATTGTTTGGACTCAGTGTAGCTTTTCTGGGTAAATCTGTAATCACAATTGTTATTCTAAACGACTTCAACCGGAGGGGCAATAACGTTAAGCTTTTGAGAGCGCAAATCCCGGGCAAAGTTACAAAACCATCTCATAAGTGCAAAATATCGAACGGTGAAACAAACTGCCAAGAAAGGGGATGCTGAAACATTAAAGGGGCATTGTTTAAGGTGCGCACAATCAAAACCCTTGCGCATCGTCCTCCGCGCGGGCTCTGTGTTGCCAATGGACCCTTTTTGTCTTTTTTTTTTTGGGGGGGGGGGGGGGGCGTAAATCGAGTCCCGAGCGCACGAGAAATTTCCAGACCTCGGCGTCAACACCCCCACGCGAAAACCGGGACGCGCGTCCGAGTGTCACGCAAGCCAAGGGAACACGCACAATGGACTGCACCGGCTCGTGACGTAGCCAAGGACAGCAGGTAATGGAAAACGCCGCAAAGCAATCCCCCCCTTAACCCAGACATTTGCGATTGCGAACGCTCTCCGGAATTATCAACGAGACCGGCGCCGTTGACTCTCGGGCAAAGCTTCTCCGGGTCTGCCAGCTGGCCGGATCGCCCAGGTGCTTCGAGCCTTCCACGGGGCGCCACTTTTAAAAAAAAAAAGTCTCATTACAAGCCACACAACAATGGTGTCTTTGCTCGCTGCTTCGCACCTTCCGCATTGCAGTTTTAAGAGATGCCGCTTCTCTGCGAAGGCCTCTGTCGACGCTGCCGCACGCGCAGTGAGCGCAAGCAGCCTTTGCGTTGTGAGTTTGAGACCGCTGGCAAGCGGACGATTGTTGCGATTTTATTTATTTATTTATTCATCCGTTCCCGGCTTAGAAGCATTCACGGGAGATGTGAGTTCGAAGGTCTCACCCCAGGTCGCTGATGACTGTCTAGAAAAATATCCCAAAACTGGTGTCAGCACTCAAGCCTAGCCGCACTTACCTTTGAGGACGTAACCACTGAACCAAAGGTGATTGCTCAGTGCAAAGGTAAGCGATAATGAACAGGTATTAAGAGACGCCCTACCGGGCGTAACTCCAAGGCTACGGCTGATTGAAGGTCACGTCTAATCCCAAGCAGCCTAACAAGATAAAACTATAGAAGCCGAAGGTGATTAGTAAGCCCCGCGGCGGACGGATGTGTATGACAATACCAGCGGCTAGCTTGTGTTGTGTTGTGTGGCCTAAGCCTTTAGCTCGGGAAGCGACGGGGACACAAATTAACGGCACGTATAATAAGTGGCATGAACCCGACTAACGAAGTTTGATTCCCGGCCAGAGCGAACATCAGGGACGAGTGGTATCTGAAACAGCCTTGGCTGCCCTCGTTCATGAACCCACGCTGTTCCAAGTCGGTGAAGTATGGTCAAACAGCCCCCCAAGACCGACACAGCATGGGGAGGCCTTCGTCCAGCAGTGGGGTGCTCAATTACGAAGCTAACTCCTCCGCTTAAAATGTGGGCTTCTTGCAATAATCCAGGCCGAGCAACAAAGCGTCACGTTTCCAAATGAAACACCCTTCGTATAAAATAAATGACTGCACCGTAACGTTGCAGTAACTGTGAACAAGCACGCACGCGCGCGTGACAATTGGACGCAAACAATCGACAGGTTTTCCAGGGTATTAATGATTCAACTTCCTCAACACCTGTGCCTCGACGACAAACGCGGGAGAGCCGATCCCGGCAAACTTCCTAACTTTCCGTAGCGCAGGAATTGACGCTTGCGATAGCTTAATTAAGAAAACCCCGCAGTGTGCGGGGCAGGACACAGCGGAGGTGAGAATGACAGCGAGCCACGGAGCGGACGCGCGGGAAGGCACGGGTGACAACTCGCAAACAGCGTTACACGTGCACAGCTGGGCTGTGAGCGACGCCCCGCTGCCTCCTGCATAACAAGCGCGCTACAAACTAAGCCTCGCGCGCGAGCGCATGCGCTAATGCCGCGTCGTCTG